ATTAACGGCCTCGTGTTCTCTTCTGCTCTTGCGGGATTGGAGAGCTTCGTCACGTACGAGTTCCAGATCCTCGCCTACACTAGGATAGGGAATGGGCCGAGAAGCACAGCGGTCAGAGCAAGAACTTTACAGTCCAGTAAGTATTACAAGAACTGAAAACATTTTGACCCATGGGTTGTTTACCATGTACACGAAGAAACACGTTTTGTGCAAATCCCATCTCCACAAAGAAAAAAATGTTTGTAAAAGTAAGTTCCATCCGGATTGACCATTTACTATTCACTCAAAATAACCCAATTTACCAAAAGAGACTAGGACGGGTTCGACCTGATCATAATTCCAAGATAAATGCAAATGGTAAGCGCATTTTCCATTCGGATATTTAGGTTGAAAAGTTTGATCTGCCTTTCAAGATGTTTGTTTACTTCGAGAATTTTACGGTCCGTCGAGCCAAAATTGTCTTAGCATTTACATTCTGACTAAAATTTGCGGATTTTTTGGGTAAATGGTAAACCGCGGACTAGCAAACTCCCTCTCTTTCCTCGACCCCTCCTCAAACCCCTGCTTGTCACGGGTAAAAAAATGTACGTTCCCTAACCCGCTCGTGCTCTGTTCAGGCCCAGGTCCTCCTTCTCGCGTCCATTTTACAAACGTTAGCAGGACGTCCGTGACGATAGCGTGGGACCCACCAGTCTACCCCCGTGGTGTGATAACGAGATATAGAGTGGCGTACCGTTTTAATTCAACGTCGTCTGGTTTTATATGGCAAAGCTTACTCGGCCGTAATGAACGGCAAAGAACTGCTGGGGGGCTGAATGCTCAGTCGTTTTATCGTTTCTTCGTATGGGCCGGCACAAACACCAGCTGGAGCGACCCGCCCGCAGAAGTTGTTGTATATACCGGAGGCTCAACAGGCAAGTAAAGGTTACACGTACACTTTTGAAATGGAGGACCTCCAGTAAGCGATCTTTCACACTTTGTACGTTCCGGCTACTTGCTTCAGAACTATTTCTGTGTGGTAGTCACACACCCTTGCTTTTGCGAAAACTCATGCTAGAATTTAGGTTACTTAAACGTAGCCCGCTGATACACCGAAAATAAGCATTGCATGAATGTAACTCACTGCACTGCGATATCAATATTTAAATGTACTGAGCGTGTAGAGCGCTTCTCTACTTCTACCCATTCTATCGTCTAGGCGTACTTACTTTAGTGGATAACTGCAGTATGTTGTAAATATGTAAATGTGCTTATTCTCTTTCTAACCCTTTGCTTAACAGGTTGTTAAAATGGTTTCTGTAAGAGAATAAATTACAGTAACTTCTTTCCTAACCATAAAGTTGTACGGCGGTTTATTGCTTTGGAAAGTTCCTTTTATTCATGGTCGTGAATGTAATGGTTGTTTTCCTCTTTCCGCCACAGAACCCCCAGATACGCCATTCATTCTGCCGATATATTTTTCGGACATCAGCGAGCGGTGGATAATCGTTAAATGGCAAGCCACTTCGGATGTTAAAAGTCCCTTGAGGTTCTTCACGTTGCAGCTGAACAAAAATGGCGAGGGCTGGCAGGTGTACTCTCCAAACGTTCCTCACAGTTCACGGAGCCTTAAAGTGGAAGGTCTTATTCCAGGAGAGACTTACACGTTCAGGATCATGGCTACTAACGACAGAGGCAACAGTCCATATAGTGTTGCGTCCACGGCTGTCTCTACTCGCCTTGCCCGTGAGTTTGAACTCATTGTCACTACGGTACTCTTCAATATAAGAAACATGTTAGTCAGTACGTGACACAATCTTTTCGGAGAACAATTCCAAGTCTTCTCAACAGGAGTTCCGGCTATGACCGGTTGGACTTTTTAATACTGAGATAGACTGGAGACTCGTGGGAGCTAGTTTATTTAAACAGGTCCATGTAACAAATATCCTCGAGCTGTATCGCAAGAATACGTCATTTCTGAGTTGCTCTCATTAGCATTAACCCAAAAACAAAAGGGTACGAGCTAAATCCAATAGTATGGAATAATCACTTAACTCGAGTAAAAAAGTTATCTGTTTCGTTACCTAGTTGAAAAAAAAAAAAAAAAAAAGAACGGCAATGAAAAACTTTCGTACCTTTTCGGTTGACGGTTAACCCCATTGAGACCCTCTGTTTGAGGCATAAAACTCATATTGTGACTTACGTTTATGTTTTTTGTTAGGTATGGACAAACCAGAGAATGTCAAGTTAATAGTAAATGACTCAAACATCTGTAAGGGCGATATCATCAGTATCAACTGTTCAGCGGACGGTAAACCTAGTGTTCATACTTATCAACTGTTCGAGAATGATATACAAGTGCCTGATAGTGACACAGCAGGAGTATGGAAGCGAACGATGTCAGCGCAAGGAAACTTCAAGTACAGATGTGTGGCCAACAACACTGTAGGCACAAGTGAAAAGAATGTTACAGTTACCGTCAATGGTAATTAATTTATGGACTATTTCAGTAATAATTGCAATACCAGTCACCATCATGTCTGAGCACATGTACAGTACCACCTAGATACAAAGTCACTACTTAATCAGGAGCTCTCATGTTTGTACGGATAAATGGCAGTTTTATCGCCCTACGGCTTGTTAGTTTTATTGCAGTTCGGAATTAATGATGAAATTAAGTGTCCTAATTTATGGAAAATGTGTAAGGCCGTAGCCCGGCTTTTAACACCAACGATGCAAGTCTCTTAAGTTCACGCGCCGAAGGCTTGAGCCTCTGGAAGGCTATGAAGGCATGTCCCCCTATACCCCGTAAAAAACCAGAAACAAAAACAACAAAAACAAAATTGGGATATACCTTGAGGGAAAAGGAATGAGCAAATGCGTGAGTAATGAATATTTCATTGTGAGAGAGTAATATTACATTCGTTTGCGTTAGGCTTGATTACTCTGAAAATGATATAATTTATTGCTTACAACAACAACAACAACAACTAGCTTTATTCGCATGACCATAAATACATACAGTGTTGCAAAAGCTTTAGTAAACTAAAACTAAAACTTAAACTAAAACAGTAATGATTTTCATGAACATATAATAAGTTTGTGATAAAGCGATCAAGTTGCATCGGCTTAATTTGAAAGAAGAATATCGCGTAGATCAAAGCAAGATGAATTGAATTTTGCTAATTGAATGTTAATATAATGATTTCTGGAAGTCATAAGTTCGCCGATGTCTAGTAAAGAAAATACAGTGGAATCCCGATTTTTCGAATCTCCAAGGGGAACGAAAATTGCTTCGAAAAATCGGAGAATTCGGTAAATCGAGGGTAAAATTACAGTGTTTGACTGAGCAGAGGGAACGACTTTTGGTTCGAGCTATCGGGAAGTTAAAAAAAACGAGGGTTCGAGAAATGGGAATTCCACTGTAACAGAGTATTTGTTGCAATACACTGGAGTTCCGATTTCAATTCTTAGTTTGTGACTGCCTATCATAAATTTCACTAGCTCTTTTCTTTTACTTAGCTTCCTTGTTAGGCTTAACTAAGTGGCGGATGTATAATCGTTCTTAAAATTGCAGCATATCTATTCTCACTGCTAGGCTGTGTAATAAGTTGATGGCGCCGCCGTTTTTCGGCCTCCCCTTATAAACCAAATATGATAATGTCCAGGTCTTGTTTACCAAATTAACATTCGTACCCGAAGAGCTTGTGTTTGTTGCGTCAGACACATTAGGACCGTTCTTGCCTTTAATGAACTCGCCATTAGAACTTTAACTTCTTTTCAGCACTTAACAAAAATTGTCTTTAACAATTATGTCTTGTACCACTTAAATTAATTTTATAACTTTAACTGGGTTTAAATTCCATGCCCCAATGGCATATGTGCTACAGAAATTATTTTTTCCAACTCGCAGTGCTTTTCAAAATGTTGGGATAAAATCTAGACCAGACACTCTTGCTAGCCACAGCCCTCATCACTCCAACGTTCTCTAACATTATAATTAATTAAATTTGCTAGGAAGCATTTCTATAATAAAGATTTACGTTCTAATGATTACTATTTGTTTTATACAGTCCCAGCAGTTATTTATCCACTGGAAAACATCACTGTTACAGAAGGTGAAAAAAGGACTTTAACATGTTATGTTTCTGGGAGTCCTACTCTATCTGTAACATGGACAGAGGTGAGGACTGGAGTCCGTACAATGGGAATCACATGTGAGCTCACACATATCAACAGGAATGAGTCTGGGAAATATAACTGTGAAGTGCGCAACTCTTGTGGAAATGCTACCACAAGCATCTTTCTCGTTGTGCAGTGTAAGTGACAGTATTTTTTTAGCTTTATTCTGACTGTTTCTTTTTAGATTAGACATGTTTCTCAGCTAGGTAGGCTAATAAGTCTTCATGGGTAAAATTTAATTTTGTTTTACACTAACATTAGTTTTTCCAGTACAATCAAG